CACTTCCCAATGAAAAAAGCAGTCAATTTGGCATTGGACAATTCATTTAATTATCAGCAACAAGACTCTTGTTGCTGAAACATCTTGGGTTGACTATTTCATAAATTATCAGCAACAAGAGTCTTGTTGCTGAAAGTGAGTTGATTTACTATTCATAAAAGTATCAGCAACAAGGCCCACATTGCTGAAAAGGGTGCATAACTCCGGTAGACAATTCCAGTGACCATTTTTAGCAACATAAACCATGTCGGTGATAATAAACTTTCACCGACATACTTCATGTTGCTAAAAAGGTTGCACAACTCCAGTGGCCGGCTCTGGTAAATTTTTTAGCAAGATAGACTACGTTGGTGAAACTTCACTTTCAGCATCATAGTGCATGTTGCTGAAAAAGGTCCAAGGAATCACCGACGTGAACCTTGTTGCTGATGTATCAGCCAGCACAGTATCTCCAACAAAGACATCAGCAACATGCATCTTGTTGCTAGAAGACTTTCAGCAACATGGGATACACTTTCACCGATGTGCTCCCATGTTGCTGAAAAATGGTTTTTTAGTAGTGTATGGAGCACTAAAAGAGTTTGTATTAGTCAATGTCTATAACAACATTACTGTCTTCCTTAGTTTCTTATCCACATTAGACATTCCTGTTGGATGGTCCATTTCCTGATTGTTGTTGATGCAGATCAGATCATAATCTTGTTTCTTGGAGTTTCAATAAGAATATTAATGTTGCTTATTCAATTAATAATTGAATTGTATAAAGAAGTAACTACGACTGGGACATGGATTTTTGTATATGGCTTGAGCAATAGACTATTTTTAGATGTAATCACGTTAGGTTTTTCCTGGCATTATTGGTTTGTAAGCCCTAACTTGCTTCCTACTGTAGCTGAATTCATGTTAATTTCATTTTTATAGGGTGTTGAGGCAATTAAAACATATGGAATTGACAGATTGATCCAAGTAGCCGCATCCCAACTCAACAATCAGCTTCCTGAGTCCAGGGAGGCTGCTCAAACCCTTCTTCTGGAGTTGCAAACTGTATACAAGGAATCCTATTGTGTCTTGGGAGCACTTTTGTCTATCAACTCTCTCCGTTAAGTGCACAGGGTGTGCTTCATGTCACCAGTGCCAATGTTGCTCAAGAGGGTCTTGTTGTTAGTTCATGACACAAGTTACCTAGTCCATACATGAGCTTTTTGAAACCACTGTCTTTATTTTACTTGCACATATCAGCCCTGGCTATCGAAGTCTATAATTACCTTTTGTTGGGTTGGTTTCATTTCATCTTTTTCTTTTTCTGTAAATGCTCTTGAATCATTGAGATCTCTGCCATTATGGTTAAGAAAATAGTTGGGTTGGAATGATATGGTATGTCTTTATGAGTTTCTTCCTTTTGCATAATTTTGCCGCAATGTAAGTAGAACTGAGAGGGTAAGTACTCTGTGTAGTAAACTGGAAATGGAGTTTATTACTAAGTACAGCTCATCTGCTCAAAATGGTTTGAAAAAATGTCAGATAAGAATATGAAATTTGTTATTTTCTTATTTAAAATTATAAATTTTGTTGATTTTTAAATAAAGTGGTAAATTTTTAATTTTTTATTTAATAATGTTAATTTTATATTTTTTTATTTAAAAACTAATTAAAAATTAATAAAATTATTTATCATATTACTATTACTATCTAATAATTTTAAAATAAAAAATAAAAAATTAATAATTTTAAATAAAAAAAGTTAAAAACATATCATCTCATTTAAATATTGGTAAAATTTATATGTTTAAATGAAAAAAAAAAAGGAAAAAAAGAAAAAGACAATTTATATGCGTACGTGCACTTTTTCTCAAAACGGCTACGTGCCGAATTGTAGAAAGGAATGCGTGACGGGTTGCTGACGTGAGTGGACGCCAGCAGTTAAAGAGGGACAGATTTGCCTGAATTGTAAGTTGAGGAGCTGATTTGCCGGCAGTAAAAAGCACAATAGGAGATGATTACAACACTTTAATTTAAACTTCTCATTAAAAAATCTTACCTCTTACATCAGAAAAATCACCCTGCAAAACGGTACAAAAGAGTTAATACACTCAATATATTTTGTATGCTTTGGCGTGTTAGGTGAAACCTCCTATTTGTATCTTTTATTTATATCATTTTCATGGTTAATATCTTTTAAAATTTTTTCTCCTTATTCATACTCTCAATTTTTCAAAACTCATAAAAAAATTAATATTTTAATAAATTGTAACGAAATGTTACCGTTAAAAATTGTAATACATAGCATCAAACAGAAACATAAACATTATGTCACCTTATTAATCCAATGTAGACTTTTTTTTTGATGATGTAGCATAATTAAATCATAATTAATTTTAATTTCTTCATTTTCTTCTTTCCTAACATCATCTTTACCATTTTCCTCTTCATCCTCCTGGGTTCCTCATAGAACCAGGAACCCAGGACGTTATGTCACATTTATTAATTCAATGTGGACTTTTTTTTTATATAATGTGTTATAATCAAATCATAATTAATTTTAATTTCTTCATTTTCTTCTTTCCCAAAATCATCTTCACCATCCTTGTCCTCATCCTCTTGGGTTCTGCTGAGTTTCTCGTGGAACCCAATTTCACATGAATGCCTACCAAGCTAAGATCTTCATCCACACAATTATAAGTAAACGAATACTGCACAAAAACATGATATGCATCTTCTACCCCTTTCCCACAAAAAACGAAAAAAACCATTATTGCCATTCATGTTAATCCCACTTGAACTTAAATGGGCAATCTATTTAGAAACAATCTCCAAGCAAAAAAACTCATATTTCCAACAAAAAAATTTATTCCAAATTGCTTTGCATAAAATAAGAAACTAAGATAAATACATTCAAATAAAAAAATGAAAAAAAAAAAATGGTCGGAACCTAGAATCTGGGTTCCGTAGAACCCATTGCAAAGAGAAGAAGAAGATGGAGAAGATGGAGGATGGTGAAGATGATGCCAAGGATGAGGGGGAAAGAAAAAGATGAAGAAATGCCACATCATAAAAAAGAAAAAAAAGTCCACATTGGATTAATAAGGTGACATACGTTCATGTTAATGTTTGGTACCATGTGTTACAATTTTTTTGTTGGTCTCACTATACATGTGGCATCCACTTATGTAAAAAATTATGTCATGTCATCAAAAAAGAGTCCATATTGGATTACTAACATCATATAGTGCCACGTCAATTTCTGGATATCACGTAGTGCATTTTTTAACAGTATCGTGACTGCTCGTTAAAATATTGGGTTTTTCACGCATTTTGAAAAATTAAGAGTGTGAATATAGAGGAAAAATTTTGGAATATGTTGACCGCGGAAATGATATAAATGGAGGGTGCAAATAGGGGCTTTGGCCTTTGTATTAAGCTCTCATGTTTTCTATTATTTATAGAAGATAACCCCTTCTTAGTTTTTCTTACGCCTTCAGACCCAAAACAAATTAAGATAAGTAACTGAAATAATTAAATATATATCTAAGGCAATGGTTCATATTTCAATAAGGATAAATAAGAATAATATAGTTATAATATTATATAAAATTATAAATTTATAATTTAAATATATTATTAAATATATATAATATTATAGATAAATTTTAAATAAAAAATTA